GCAAAACAATCCTAAATACTGCTTAGAAATACACACATATGTAGAAAATAAATAAATGAGAAAATATACACCAAACGCACCACAGTGGTGAAGGGATTGTAAACTGGCACAGCCATTGTGGAAAACAGCATGGAGGTTCCTCAAATAATTAAAACAAGAAATACCAGCCCTAGCTGGCTTGGCTCACTGGATAGAGCGTTGGCCTGTGGACTGAAGGGTCCCAGGTTCGATTCCGGTCAAGGGCATGTACCTTGGTTGCAGGCACAACCCCAGTGGGAGGTGTGCAGGAGGTGGCTGATGGATGCTTCTCTCTCATCAATGTTTCTAACTCTATCCCTCTCCCTTCCTCTCTGTAAAAAATCAATAAAATATATTTAAAAAAAATAAAACAAGAAATACCAGCCCTGGCCAATGTGTCTCAGTGGTTAGGGCGCCAGCCCACACACCAGAGGGTCTTGGTGGGTTTGATTCCCGGTCAAGGGCACGTACCTGGGTTGCAGGTTCTGTTCCTGACCCTAGTAGGGCTCATATAGAAAGAAACCAATCAATGGGTCTCTCTCACATGAAAGTCTCCCTCTCTCTCTCTCTTTTCCCCTCCACCTTTCCCTCCCACTTCTAGGTATATATCTAAAGGAAATGAAATCACTATCTCAAAGGGATATCTGCATTCCCATGCTCATTGCAACATTATTCACAGTAGCCAAGACATGAAAACAACCTAAGTGCCCATGGGCAGATGAAAGGATAAAGAAAATGTGGTATATATGTATACAATGGGACATTATGCAGCCATAAAAGTAAATCCTGCCATTTGTGGCAACACGTATGAATCTAAAAGACATGATGCCAAGTGAAATAAGCCAGTTACAGAAAGACAAATACTGCATCATCTCCCTTAAACATGAAATCTAAAAAAAGCCAAAATCATTTAAGAAGAGAGTAGAATTGTCAGGGGTGTGGGGAGGGATGTTGGTCAAAGGGTACAAACTTTCAGTTATAAGTAAGTTCTAAAGATCTAAGGTACACCATGGTGACCATAGTTAATAATAATGTATATTAAAATTTGCTAAGAGAATTGATCTTAAGTGTATATTTTTGGCAGCATGGTTTGTTATAGCCCAAAACTGGAAATATCCCATTGCTCATTATTGGAAGAACAGGTACTGAATTGTGGTATAAATCATATGATGAAATACTACACAGCTGTTATAATTAATGAACTATCCTGGCTGGTGTGGTTCAGTGGTTGAGCATTGACCCATGAACCAGGAGGTCAGGGTTTGATTGCAAATCAGGGCATATGCCCAGGTTGCAGGCTCGATCCCCCGTGGGGGCTGTGTAAGAGGCAGCTGATCAATGATTCTCTCTCATTATTGATGTGCCTCTCTCTCTCTCTTCCTTACTCTCTAAAATCAATAAAAATATATTTTTTAAAAGATAAGCAAAAATGAAAGATGCAAACATTTATTTATATATATCTGGAAAATGAGTTATGAGCTTATTCTTTTATATAATATAACTTTTGTTATATTAATATACTCAGAATATATATACTCCGGTGCTTGTTATATTATTCTTTGCACTTTTTGTTCTTTTGGGTGGTTGCGGATTTTTTGTTTTGTTTTCAGTTTATGAGGCAGTCAACTAACCCTCTCTCCACCTACCTATGCTGAACCAAAGTTCACCACAGGGGAAAGAAGGCATACAAACAGGAAAGAGCACAGAGGAAACAGCCACATGAGCAGAAACCACAAAGCTGGTCGAAAATACACAGACACCTGCTTTAAACAGAAATCATGCTTGCAAAAAAACAACTGGAATTAATGAAAGATCACACTTTACACAGCTATTTGACCACACAAGCAGCTAGTCAAGAAGTTACGCAGATATAGGCTCAACACCAACTCTGCCAGTTATCTGCTATGTGAACTTCAGTAAATTTCTAAACAGCTCTAAGCCTGAGTTTCCTTACATTAAGTGGGGCTTACAAATACCTACCTCAAAAATCATGGTAAAGACTAACTTGGATACCTATTCTAAAGTGCTCATTAGAATGAGTGGTTCATGGTTATTTGCCCAATGAATTCTAGTTGTGGTTTGTGTGTCCGAACTAGGATTAGAACTCCACCAGTGGGCATAATATTTCAGCAAAGCAAACAGCAATATCCAAGCTGATGCACCAAAACAAATAATTACCCAACAATAAAGCAAGCCATGTTGCTGACTAAAATATATGGCTAAAAGCGATGTAAGAGAAAAGATGAACTACAGAATAGGAGAGATCCCATTTACGTATAACAGCCCCACAGAAGCAGTTTTATAAATCTAGCAAAATGCAAACTGTCCTCAAACAGAACACTTTACCAAACTGAATGGTAATTAACCAGTGATCAAAGAATCAAGTCCTCAGACTCCCACACTTCGTTTTAGAAGATAAGGTTTTTTAAGTTGCTAAGATGGGGAGAACATTTTTAAAACATACTTGGGAGAAAAACACATTTTTAGGCTCCAAGGCAAAAAGAAAAAAAAAAATTCTCCCAAGCGTCCTTATTATGAAGACATAATGTACATTGATGGATTAAAAATTTGTAATTCTCAAATTCAAAAGTGATGTAAAAGAAATAGAAGTTAATAAAAAATATTACAAGACAAATAAATGTAAGAAATCAGAATGGATCACTTCCTTAAAAAAAGTAACTTCAATGAATTCCCCAAAAGATCCATCCCAACTTTCACTGACCAAATTATCCCTATATTATATATATATATAAAATTTTAAAATATGGAAAAGTAAAGGTTGACAACCCAATTTGTGACCTTAAGATGGTTTTGATGTCTTAAACCAGGCAAAAAATAAAGCTCAAAAAACTAATGTTTCTCAAAGTCATAAAACTAAAGTTTCTAATGTTCCTAAAGTTGGTGTATAAGAAATTGAAACAAAATTTCTAAAATATTATTTATGAAACATACCCACAATCGCTGTCTGATGTGAATGAATTAAAATTATACCTTTTTTGGGGTCAGGTCAGCACAAAATCTTTGTGTGCCGAAGAATATCAGTCATTAGTCTGTGTGTCACGAGATAAAGAAGGTTGAAAATCACTGCTTTAGATAGTATTTATGAAGCAAATGAACTCTTTTTGGTTTAAAATAACGCATGGGAGTTGGGGACGGATATAGGGAGGAAGGAATAAATGAAATTGTCTATAATTTTAAAACTGTTGAAGCAAAATGATGTGTACATGGGCTTCATCATTCTCTTTTCATTACTTTAATATAGTTTTTAAATATAATAAAAAAATCAAAAGAAGCATATATATTTAAAACTTAATTAGGTCTTAAAGCCAACACAAGTTGGCGAAAAAAAATTTCCCAACAGAAAGAGATAACAAAGCCTTTCTACTCTATTGATATTCAGTATATTACTAGAATGTTCCTTTCCTTTCCTTTGTATCTCCCTCTTTCCGTCCTTTCTTCCTTCCTGACTTCATCCTCGCTGTGACTTAGTTCTCTCCCTCTGTACACACAGCTTCCTAAAAGTCAAAAATACTTGCACATTGGTGCCTCACAACATAGTCATATATATTTTTTAAACAACAAAGCACATTCAAGCACTTTTTAAATTTTTTTGTTTTACCCTAAACACACACACAAAAATATTTTTAAATATTATATCAACTACCTCATCCATTTAAAACATGCCTCTTATATATATTTTATTACACATATAAAATTGGAGGTGAGGAATCGAAAGTTTTTCTCAACAGTTCGATGACCACCATTTTGGACACTAGGCTGTCACTGAAAGTTTTTAAGGAGGGCACAGTGTGAAAAGTACTGTATAAGAAAAATAATTGGGCAGCACTACCTAGGGACAGAAAAGCTGGGGAGAAAGACTATGGTCAGAGACAGTCATTTCCGAATTCAACAAGGCATTCATGCAGAAGGGAGATGGACCAGAGGACCAGGCAGGTAGGGGATGGGAGACTTCAATAAAGGGCCTTGGTGAGGAAGGTGTTGGGAAGGATGAAAAGGGGGCTGGGGGGAGCGTCAGATACCCTGCCCTGGGGAAAGGAAGATGAGATTGACTCCTATTCCGGTACCGACGCTGCTCAGGCCCAGGGAGACGGAGAGCCTAGATTGGGCCGGAAGGCCTGGGCAGCCGGGAGGCCGAGGGGCACGTGGGGGCCATCCTGGTGGGTGTGATAGCTGAACCCAGACGAGTGGGCTTTCTTAGGGAGAGACGGGAGACAGGGAGACAGGCCAAAAAGCGTAACCCAAAGCTTGGGGCACACCTTGAGGCAATAAAGAACAAGCGGGGACACAGAAAGAGCTGCTGGGAGGTAAGCCACGCTCGTTCAAAGTGGCCCCAAGAGCGGGCGGTCCATGGCTCGGCCACGAGGAGGCCCCCAGGAAGGAGCGCAGGGAGACCACACATCATCGGTAACCGGTAACCGCGAATGGGACCACTCTAGTCGACGGTGCGGACGCGCATCAGGTATCAGACAAGGGACAAAGAGGGGAATGGAGACGGCCCAGGTGCGCGGCGCGGTGGGGGTGCTGGGAGGGGGCCTGGGGACAGAGGTAGCAGAGAGGTAAAGACTCAAGCTCCGGGGAGGGGAGGCTCTCCTTCCTTCCCAAACCTGCCTTCACAGTCTTTAGGCCGTGGCGGGTCCCAAAGCCCTGCATTCTAAGGGCGCAGGGAGTTTAAGGTAGTCTTCCCCAGGCAATATCGCCTTAGCCACATTCCGGGTCCCAAAGCACCGTATTCTAAGGGCGCAGGGAGTTTAAGGTAGTCTTCCCCAGGCAATATCGCCTTAGCCACATTCGAGGAAAAGTCTGCAGGCGCTGGAGGAAGAGCTCTTCGCAGGGAAGTGAGGGGCTGGCTGTGGGGTGCGAGGTGCCCCGGGGGCGCAACCCTGGCGGACGGCAGCCCCGACCGTCCTCCCAGCCCGGGACCCGGGACCCGGGAGCCGCCCATTCCCTAGCGGCGCACTCACCGATCCGAGTGCGTATAGTGGCACCGGCCCAGCAGGTTGAGCTTGCAGAGGTGCAGGTTTCCGCAGTCCGTCTGGCAGACTATAGTTTTAAAAAAAACTATGAACAAATTCCTATGCACGCTGCACATATCTTATTTTGAAGTAAAAAAAATGTTTTCAGCGGGCCACATGGCGGTTTCGGTTTCCCACTCGGCTCCGGGTCCAGAGGGCAGGACCCACTGACCCCGACCGCTGTGTTCAGATTTAAAGTCAACCGCGACGGCAACCGAGTGGATAGGCGGCCAACTGCGCGCGGGGGGGGGGGGGGGGGGGGGGGTCCAGCCCGGCCTGCATCCTCTCACAGTCCAGGAGCCCTTGGGGGGTATGGCGCGGTTCTTGGTCCGCGCAGGGCGAGACTACTTCCGAAAGAAGTAGAACCACAGTGATCTGCAGGCGCCCGGGCGCTGTTTATAAGCCCGCCGGGGCGGCGCGTGCGGCGGGTGGGGAGCCCCCTGGAGGCTTCCTGTCTCCACCCCACCCTTCCAGGGAAAGAACACACCTCGCAAGCGCCAACTCGGGCCTGGGAGTCCAGCCTCCGGTGGTAGTCACCCTTCTCGGCCACTCCTAGAGGGGAATGTTATTATCTCCTGTGTTTGGGGAAGAAACTTGAGTCATCAAGCTGGAGCCCGGATGCTATCCGAGGTTCCCCACATAGGACCCACAGGCCCCAGCTCGCGGACCGCCTGGCCGGGACCGATATGCACTTTCTCCCCCACCACCACGCGCTCCTAGAAAAACGGCGACGATGCCTCTGTCTCTCCTTTGCCATCTTTGAGCTTTTGAAAGGATCTCTTTCTGACCTTCCTTGGCCTGCCTGGAATCGCTGTCACAGGGGCCTGTTGAGACGCATTCCCGGGATCTAAGAAAGGTTTCTCTCTTTAGGCATTGGGACAAGACCTTCTCCCACGTGGGGACGCACTTGGACCTCCAGAGTTGGTATAAAGATTATTGGAAACATTTGACCTACAAAAGATGCATACGAAATTGTATCTGGAATTCTCTCGATCTGACTAAAGCAGAGGCTCCTGGAAATACAGCTACCATTAACTCTTCGAAAGAAGTTGACTGCTAATTTAGTTGCCTGGCGGAGACAGAATTCCCGTTCTATTAGCATCAAAAAGCCCAGTAGAACCTGCTACGCTCTCCCACTGAAGCCCTAAAGTCCCCTCCCCACTTTTGTTAAATTAAGAGACATAATCTTCTGGCTACTCCAGGACTTTTCAATCACTGGGCGCTCCCACCCCTACCCATGTGTTAATAAGTCTTGTCTTTTCTCCTGTTCACCTATTGTCAGTTCATCTGCAGGCCCCCAAGCACTGGACCCAAGTTGGGACAGGAGAAAAGTGTGTATGCCCACCGCCCTCACCCACGCACCACTCCAGGTGAAATAAATGGGTCCCGGATCAGATCAGAAATAAACCTTTTTTTGAATTATAGAATTCAGTTGTCAAATTGGAAATTCTACAGAATGATCAATGTGAATTCCCCTCAGTTTAGGAATTTGTAGTAGATGAACTGTGTCTCTCAGGGATAGAGGACTTTGGTATGAACACCAGCCAAACATGGGGCCCACCCAGGATCATTTGACTTTTTGTTCCCTCTGGCTATTCTATAGTTGCCTTTGATCCAGTTGGCCTTAACTGCGGTCTGACAGGTTCCCAGGAAAGGGCTTTTAACCAATTCAATTCAACATAGTATAGTGTATGTAGGTAGCCTTACATTAGTCACTCGGGAAGTTTAAGAAATAGTCCCTGCTCTGAAGGAGCTTGTATTTGGGAAGACATGAAAAAAACACGCCTGTGTTTTAATTGCAGTTTCACCATCTCCCAGGAATAGAATCTTAATTGACCAGTCTAGAATTTGGAAAAGTCTGTTATGTGGGCCTTTGTGGGGCGCAGGTACAGTGTTTTGGCCAGGTTCAAGCTTCGGACTAATGAAAGGACAGGGTCCTCTCATTGCCACGTGCAAGTCCCAGCTGGAAAGGCAGGGCCCTCCCAGCACAATCATAGCCAAGGGCTGTGGTTGTAAGCTTGAACCTATGATCTGAACACGTAGCCCCACCTGCCTTGTGATAGAGTTCCGGTGCATGTAGTTAAGTGGGGATGAAATTCACGAGGATGCTGTAAACAACTTGATCACGCCCCTACTTTGCCTCCTGGCATCTGCTATAAAATAAAGACAAGGCTTGTGGGCACTGTATCCTCATCAGGGAGCAGTGTTCCACCGGGACCCAGCTTTCATTCTCTTGTCTGTCTTTTCTCAATCCTTTCACCCCCCCACCCCGCCCCCACTCGGGATCACCCTTGGCTGTGCTGGCGCCCCACAGGCCTTCCCGCAACGCCCAGGAAGAAGAGGCAGTCAGTCTCCTTGATAAAACCCTTGCCCTTTCCTCCCCCGCAAAATGGTGATGTCTTGGCCTGAAAGTAATAATTTCATCTAATAACTCACCTGCCACACTCTTCTGCCTATAAAAAAACCTTCCATTTTGTAAATAACCCCTTGGAGGCCCTTCTAGTTGCTAGATAGGATCCTGCCAGATTCATGAATTGCTTAATAGAGCCAATTAGATATTCAATTTTACTTGGTTGAATTTTGTTTATTATCAAGTTAAATGCTGTAATTAGTATATAAGACACTTGAGAAAGGAGACTACAGTCTGGCTAGAGAGGTTGGGAATAAAGATATAAAATCCCCCTCAATTTGAAGCCATGAAAAATGATTTAAGGATTGTGGGAAGGGGAAAGGCAGCCGTTTGGGGAAATTTTGAAATGTCTGCTGTCACAGGTTGTGTTCTCCAGGAAGCAGACAGATACGGAGTTAGGAGTGTAACACCAGGAAAAGTTAAGGGAAGACGCTGGATTGGTTTGTGAGAGCGGTCAGACTGGCTTACAAACCTCATAAGTCCTCCAGCCTGGCTGGGAGCAGGAGCCCAACCTTGGGCCACTGCCTTGCTTGGTCATGGGGGAGGAGTCACTGGAGAAGTATACGTGACTCTAGTCCAGACACTGAAGCAGATCCGGAAGGAGCTTAAGCTGGAGGCTGTCACCTAAAACACACTCCTTGATTTGGGCAACAATTCCCAGCTTAAGGGGGATCTGAGTGACATATTGTGCCTGCTATAGTCCACATTTGCACCACCAGTATCTATTTCTCCATCTGTATTCAGGGAATATCTCTCTGGCTCTGATGGGCAGCTCTTCCTGAAGGGAAACTTACCAGAGGAAAGCTAATGGAATTTCCCATAGCCCCTGTCAGAGAAATTGGTTGCAAGGCCATGACAGGGCCTCATGATATACCTCCACCACTATCCATTCGATTCCCCTCACCCTCAGCTATCACCTCAGCAGCTCTCAGTAGCTTACCTGGCCCCCAGAATTAGCCCCCCAAATCCTCATTTCTAAGTGGTCTAAGCACCTTCTCAGACTAGGGTTGCTGCTCTTGTCTATTCATAGTCACAGTTGGGCAAAAGAGTATCAACTGACACCCAAATAGGCCACTGGAGCTCACACTGTCCCCACTAATAGTGGCCCTACCTCCTCCAGGTCAATTATATCTGATAAGGTGGCAATTCCTTGTCTTACCTGTTAGTCTCTGAACATTAGGAGGCCAAAGTGCCTGGCTGCAGCCATAATGTGTAACCCAATTGAATCTTTGTTCTTACCCCAGGCAAGAATGTACCCCTTTTGGGGATCAAAACCTCTAACTCCTCAAAGCCCAGAATTGTGGTGATAGGGAAGCCCACTGGATCCCTGGAATGATGCTAGCTGGGGCCATTCATGCTTCTGCCCCTTGTTTCCAGACCCATGTGCTTCTTCTGTTGGGGACACAGCACCATGTTAAGTTGTCTGATTAAAGGCATATATTATGATGGCCTGGAAGAATGTCATCATTGCACTGTATTACCTCCATGCTGGAGCTTCAGCTGCAACTTTAACTGGCCATTCCAATACTTACCTATCCAATAGCTTCTGGGTGGTGAGGTGTGTGATAGGAACAGTAGATCCCAAGTTCCTGAGCCCACTCTCCTACATTCTGTGCCATAGAGAAAGTCCTCTGGCCAGATGCCGTGTTACATGGGATTCCTTGCTTGTGGACCAGGTGATCTTCAAGCCCCCAGAGAGTGGTGCTAGCGAGGCCACGCAGGCAAGAAAGGCAACCCCATATCTGGAATCAGCGTCTATTCCTATGAGAGTAAACTGCTGGCCCTACCAGGAAAAAAAGGGCCCAATATGGTCAAATGGTCACCAAGTAGCCTACTGGCCTCCTTAAGGAATATAAAAGTTTAGCGCAGGCCTTTATTACTAGCAGGTTGGCCATTCAGAGGTGGCCATACCTATATTCATTTGCGTCAATGACCGTCCATGCTGTTAGGTTTTTGCATCCCCTCCATCTCTGCCACCATGTCCTCTTTGGTTAAGTCCCATCATGCAGCAGTTGGGGGAGAGGGGGCTCTGGCAAAGACTAGCTGTATTAACGGGACAAATCATTTTGTCAAAGCTGCCACATCTTTTGTAAGAGATACTTACTACAGGCCTTAACATGCAATACAAACAACTTCCCACTTTGTGTCCACTCCTATAGTCCTCTATCCCAGACCTCCTTGTCTCTGGTTTTATAATCTTTTTCTTTCAGGACCCCCATCCACAGCCAGGCCACTCATCCCTGACCATAGGCCCACAAATGTTCTAACTTTGGGCTATTCTCCATCTATACAAAGTGGATGACCAGGTGCACTTCCCAAAGCCACCCCCCGCCCCAGGAGATTTTCCCTCCCCAATGTTTCCCATGCCCTTCCCTGCAGGAGTGAAACTGTAATATAGCCACCATCCATTTTTAGTGTGTGCCCACTTAGTGAGATGACCTATCCACAACTTGAGTTTGGTCTTTCTGTCCTTGTTTAGGTGTTTATGTGGGACCCCCTCATACATCCATAGGATATAAGTTGGAGGAGGGGTGCCAGTGCAACTGTAATGAGTGACGTGGAGATCTGGGCTACTTATCATTCAGCTCATGAGTCCTGATGTACCAGTATCCTCTTCTGATGGCTTTGATACTGGGCCTGCCTGGCTTTATGACTTCATGTGCCCCGTAGGACCTACCTAGCTTGTGATGGCCAGTTCTGAACCCACGGTCAATCATTATCTCTCCCAGTGCCCAGCAGCAAGCTAGGAGCTGTGTTTCGAAAGGAGGGTAATTCTTCACTGCAGTTGGCATAACCTTGTTCAGTAATCCCAGAGGATGGCATTGTGATTCTCCTGCTGGAACTTGCCATAAATGTCGAACTACATCATTTCCTCATCTGACACCTCCAATACTCTAGGCCAGTGATGGCGAACCTTTTGAGCTCGGCGTGTCAGCATTTTGAAAAACCCTAACTTAACTCTGGTGCCGTGTCACATATAGAAATTTTTTTATATTTGCAACCATAGGTAAAACAAAGACTTATATTTATTTATTTATTTATTTTTTATTGATTAAGATATTACATATGTGTCCCTGTCCCCACATCGCCCTCCACCCCCCACCCCACGTCCGTGTCCATTGGTCAGGCCTCTATGCCTGCATGTAAGTCCTTTGGTTGCCCTTTCCCCTTTCCCCTACCCTCC